ACAAATATCTATAAACTTTCAGAGATATTGGGCAGAGAAGGGGAGGGGTGCAACAATTTGGATAATATCCAAATATATAAAATCTTATTTTCACTACATAGTGTCTATCTTAACATCTTACCAAGCATTTTGCAGTTTACAACATTGTCTGGGTTTTGTTTGTATTTTCAAATAAATGGATGCAATCCTTATTCATGTGAGCTCTGGATAACATCAAAGTTCCTTGTAGTATTTTTACTTTTAAGTGTGTTCTTTAGGTCAAAAACCTACAGATTCATACCAGACTATTTTTTCTGAAGATATCATATAATTGTTAATCATGAAGATGCTGCTGCTGATGATAATGATCGTATTACTACTACTGCTACTACTACTACTACTACTACTAATAATAATAATAATAATAAACAGTGGCTTGGGCTTCCTCTCCACATACCTAGGTATTCTTGGCTTGCGGCATTGTTCGTGGTGGTTTTCCAAAGATATGTTTTCTGAGATGATTTGATAACATCGAAATAAATTAACCATGGATCATGTCTGTGCAGAGGCATTCCTGGAAATGCTGAGGTTCCATTTCTTTCCCTGATTCATGGGAACTGCTGATAATCTGCCCAGACTTTTGCTTGGTGTAGAAGTGGGCATTGCTAGCAACCAGGCACCATGTTTGATTGCTGGTGTGACTTCCTTGTCCTGGTCACGGTAGCTGTGATTCCAGTTACTCAGCAGTCATGACAAGGGTGAAGATTTCATCCCGGAGCTCTGTAATGATCTCTGGGGATTTCCCTCTCCCATTCAGTTCTCTGTTCAGTTGTATTTTTGTGACACGTTTGCGAATCACTTCCCTCTGCCCAGCATCTCTTCCTCAGTGGAAGATACAATGCTAACACTTGATCTTTTCAGGGGAAGAATATTCTTGGACATTTGGCTAAAACATTTGTCCTTTATCCAGAAATCTCACTGGCTTTCTATAAAGTTTATTTGATAAGAAAGGGTAGACTACCTATGAACACTGAAAAATCTGGTTTGTTCTTATCATGGCTATTTACATTTAGCTTTGCATAATAATTACTGCACTTACAGTCTTGGGGTATTGAATTTAGATTTCTCAGAGAAAATGGGTATACAATATATCTTATTAAATGCCTAGTTAATATCAGGGTCCTTTTCCAAAAGTAAGATCATTTTTAAGGTCCTAATCACAGTCAGAAACACAAATTGAATGGAAATAACGTCATTGCTAATCATGCTTAAAGGGAATATCTTTATATATTTAAATATATATTTTTATATATTTAAATCACTGCCTTCATTGCATGAACATTCCTTTTTAATATTTTTAAATCAAATTTAACATTAAGACATGGGCTTTCAAATTCCGACCAGCCTTTAGAAAGAGTGGTCAAATCATTTCTGAGCTGATGGTCATTTGGATCAAATCATTACCTGGGTTATATACGACTACCAAATAATTTTAGAAATGAGTCCCTTGCATAGGAGAAGGACTGGAAAATTCTACCGCTGTGTTGGCATTTTATTTAAAATGGCACTGAACAAAAGAGCAGTGATCAATTTCATCTGTGGTGAGGTGTGAGGGGCGAAGCCCACTGATGGCTGGATGGGGCTGAACACAGGCGTGGCTGATGACATCCAGGGTACCTAGAGGATCCTGCGGCAGCGGAGGCGGGGTGGGGGGAGGCGGGCATGCCGGGGAATTGACATGGAGTTGTGGTTGAGCATCAGACTCCTTCAGAAAGACCAATTCGACCCAGAAGAGTCTAGAAATCATTGAATTAACCTTTGTTGATAACATGACACTTCTCCCAGGCATCACTGAGCTTCCTGACTCTTGGTTTTCCTGAGTTCTCTAATGCGGGAGACCCATTTCTGTGGATTTTCAGGCATCTTGAATTCCTTATCATCACTCATCCGAATTCCTAGTTATGTGTTTGTATCATTTGATCCCATAGAAGCCTCAGTTTCTCTGTAATAAAAGAGAATAATAATAATCACATCTACTTCATCAGTTAGCTTTTGGAAGGTTAAATAAGATGATGTGCCGAGAGAAAAGTCTTCCATTTTGACAAGCACCCTGAGGAGAATCCCAGGAAACAGTGGTTTGCTGTTTGCTTGAACAGGTATAGCTCAGGCCTCCTCGTAGAGACCTCCAGTAGATCCACTGAGATCCGAGCCTTGGCCAGCAGTACACCAGCTCCAACCTGCAAAGCTCCAGTGAAAACCAAGTTCAACCTAAAAGACTATTGCTAACTACTTCAAGGTGACTTCCATAGTAACCAACTGAAACCTATGTCCCCAAACCTCCATTACTTTTCTCCTGACTAGGCAGCCTGGGCTCTCCAGAAACCTTGGTTTCCCAAGAGTTGGTAAATCAGAGGGACATCTAGCTTACTGAGAACACACAGACACTGACCTGCCTCCTCTCTTTCTTCCACTCTCCAGTATTTTCTTCCGCCTCTCTTCTTCCTATTTTTACTCTCGCTTCCTCTTCCTGACCCTATGTAGGTCTAACTTTAGGCATAGACATCTGTTTGCATTTATTATTTGCATCATTATACTTCATTTGCATCCAATTTAATTAATTGGATTATCTAGCGTGTCATCTCTTTCACAGTCCTTCACTGCTGTTGGATTTTTTTTCCTCAGAAACTACCTGGTTCTCTCTGTTTCTTGTGTCTACTATTCCCTATTCACAAGACCCAAAAGAAATATGTATCTCTACTTTATGAACAGAGGTGGGGGGAAAGCAAGAACTCTCATATACGTCTTTCTAGGGATATAGAGCTATAGTTTTAGGCAGAAATATAGTTGACTGAGGAAACATAACACACGTGCGTGTCACTACTCCATTCCAGTTTTTAAAAATGAGGGTCGTGGGTATTGGGCGGAAGGTGTTTTTGGCAAGAAGTGCTACAGGAGAGGGATGAAAAATGATGCCTACTTCTGCAGGAAAAAAAATGAGCTGAACGGACAGATAGGGTCGTGAACTTCCACCTTGAACATTTGTGCAAAGTGAGAAAGGGATTGGGCATTATATTTAAAGGCTTCTCTTGTACAGTGTTTGTTGTGAAATAAACGTGTTGCGATCATAGCAACTTTGGCAAATGCAAAAAGCAAAAGGAAAACAATCAAGGAGATAAGACAATCAGGAAAGAGAATCCATTACCCACATTCCATCTCCCACAGACAATGATTTGAAAGTGTTTGCCGGGGCCTTCACCAATCATACACACCTTGCTGTATGTATAAGGTATCTCAGTCATCTTCTGTGACCATAACATTGATGGCATTAAATTAGTTTTTACCATGCAAAGTTTCATGATGTAAGTGTGTAAACAGCAGCACAATGCACCTTCCTACAGGGTCTTTGCTGACACCTCCAGCGTGGTACTGAAAGGGATCCTAGACATATGCAGATGATCCACTACTGTTGGTCATCTTTCCTTGATGATACTATTCTTATTTGAATATGTGTTCTTTTGTTTAAAATATGTTGTTACTATAAGGTGATGTACAAAACAGTTACAGTAACGTAAGTCAGATGAGTATATTTCTTTTTGGACAGTGTCACCCCTTCTTTCATTCTCTTCCAACATTCCCCTCCCATCCCCACTCATAAGTTATATAGTTCATTTTGAACATAGTGTCTAGTGAGTACCACTGCTGTATATGTTCACCCTTTGTCCCTCTGTTTCTGTTCCCCCCCCTTACCCTCCCAATGACAGACGAGTAAACAAAGATGAAAAAAGAAAACAAAAACAGCAACAAAGGGAAAACTCCTTGTCTCCGTTTCATTTTGAGAAGCATTATTTTATATGATCAGATGCACATAGGCATTGTGACTTTGTGTCCCTCCCCTAAGACTGGGATGTGTGTTGTTTTTGATGTTGCTGCTGTTGGTTTTGAGACAGGGTCTCACTTTGTAGCCCAACCTGGCCTCGAATTTCTCCTGCCTCAGCTTCCTTAACACTGGGATTACAGGCATGCACCACCACACCTGCCTTGTGTGTGCATCCTTTCATACTAATTTGGGTAACAAAACCAACATGACAAAGTGAAATTATATGCATGGTCCTGGCAGCTCAGCTTGCACTCTCAATAAAATCTGTTTGAAGAAACATATTGCGCTTATGCAGTTGGCAGAGGTTAACTTGTCCACATGGTGATATTGTTACCATATGCAATAACTAATAATAGCTAGTTCTGGTAATTCTTGTAATTTTTGTAGTAACAACTAATTCTTGTTTTTGCAAAAAGAATAAGCTGGATTTACAGAGTATAACTTTCATTGGCTAATAGATATTAGAAATGCTATTAGAATACCAACTAATAACACCAGTCATTTTTGGAGCACCAACCCTGGAACACACTGAGGATGTATTAATTCATTTCTCACAAAATTTGTGACAGATAGAACCTTCTCAACCATGTCCAAACACTTTCCTGAGCATGGAGAAATTGCCATCCCTGGGAAAGTGGGGCAGGATTCGGTTGAGATGGGGGCTCTGAGGAAGAATTCCTGCTGTACCACTTCTTCACCAGGCATCTTGAGCTAAACTCTTAAACCTCTCTGAGCCTCAGCTTTCTCTTCTGTAAATTGGAATCACAGCAGACCTCCTCTACCAGAGTGTGTTGAGAATGAACTAGAAAGTGAATGTGAAGCATAGGATAGTTTCTCCAACACGTGACACTCAATAAATGTTGGCCTATATGATTTCTATGTACAAGTATTGCTGGACTTTTACACACAGTCTCTGAATCTCCATCATGGCAGTCAGCCTCTGTGAGCTGATGTCATCTCTCCTGCAGGTGTCTGAGGCCAAACCCAAGGCCCCAGAGAGCTGAACCCTTCCCCATTTAACTCCTTCTCCGCTGTAGATGACCCTGGACTGCGTCCCGTGCCATTACCCCTTTAACAGCAAAGAGCTTTTGAAATTGGGCCCTGGCCCGTGGTTTATCTCCATGAATGTCTTTTTACTCCTCAGGCGAGCTGCAGAAAGCTGCAGAGCATTACGAAGCCTTCCATCACCTGACGCAGGGCCGGAGGTGGACGGACCAGGACGGCCGCGCCCTCAACCTGCTGGCCTGCGAGAGGCTCCTGAGGATCTACAGACAGCTGGCAGACAAGATGGTGGAAAACGAAGATTACAAACAGGCCATCAAAATCCTAAGAAAAGCTTCGGAAGTAGCCAAAGAAGGTAGGTGGAAAAGAACACGGTCACACTGCTTTCTTTCATGGATAAACACTGGTTCTCCCAAGTTTAAAAAAAAAATTGTCATGTGATAGGGTGATTATTTCCTATGAAATGCAAAGGCAAATGTCATCAGAATACTGTCAGACCTCACTAAGAAACAGAGATGGCTTAGTGCTGACTATAAGAAATCCATTTGTTCCTTGAAAGCTTTATCTATAAAATGACAACCCACGGGGGGTCGTGTTGTAAAACAAGGAACCCACAATAATAGGATAAAGTCACTTGTGAGAAAGTTAAGGGAAAGAGAGAAGGGGGGAGAGAGAGAAAGAGGGAGGGAATTTCTGTGTGTGTTAAGGGCTGTTTATTAATTCTCTCTTGTTAGATAATTGAAAAATTATGAGAAATACTTAGTTAGAACCTTGCCTCTAAAAGCCTGGCCACATCAATGTCACCAGACAGCACCATGGTGTGTGGGTCAGGGGAATTCCAGGAGTTTTTTTTTTTTCCAGTCGTGGGGCCTGAACTCTGGGCCTGGGTGCTGTCCCTCAGCTCTTCAGCTCAAGGATAGCGCTCTACCACTTGAGCTACAGCGCCACTTCCAGCTTTTTCTGCTTATGTGGTGCTGAGGAATGGAACCCAGGGCCTCATGCATGCAAGGCAAGCACTCTACCACTGAGCCACCTTCCCAGCCCCTCCAGGAGTTTCTTATTGACACCACAGTAAAAATGCTTTTGTGAGAGCTGCTGGGATACTTAATGTTCCACAGCATTTGTGTCTCTATGAAATAAAGAGAAATCAGGCCACACTCACAAGCTTTTGACCTGCAAACTGCAAGGGAAAATACACTTGTATCTCTCTATCATTATATAGAAACTGCTGATAAAGTAGACTTTGTGAAGGAGAGAAGTAGTTCGGGTCTTAAAGCTATAGTCTTGAAGTCAAGATGATTAGTCTTGCGGTTAAGATGATTAGCTCATGGAAGTAGTTAATTGATTGGCTTATTAATTAACCAACGAGAGTAAACAGGATTGATTTTCTGGTTGTGATTTTAATCTATTAAAGAGTAAAAGTAGACGTCCAAGCTCATTCTCTCTGTGACTTCTTGGGATCATTGTAGTGGAACTATCCGCAGGGAATGGCACTCAGAGAACGAGGCATGCCAGTCGAGGACATGCTGCTGAATACGTGATGAGCCTTCTCCGAAGGGTTAAGTCCTGGCGTCCACCCCTCACTCCAGATCAGTGTCAGCAGCACACTTCAGCCACATGAGACGTCACACGAGCGTTTCCCTGTAAAGGAATGCACATTAGAAAAAGATACTTTACTCAGGCCTCGCTCTGAGTATGTTGTAACTAAGGTAAAAAAAAAAGAAGGCTTCTTGGGTTTCTCCTTTCAGAAAGTACCTCACACAGCCAAAGAATGGAGAGGACTGTAGGAAACTCTTTCTTCTGGTGATGTAGCAGTTCTTAGCACTTCTTTAGACTAAAGGTGATGTGTGTTCGTATTTTCCATGTAAGAGCGCACACGGGTTTGAAGGTTGCGCAGTACTTCAGAGTTCTTCCAGCTGCTGACTCCCTCTTGGATGAAGCCTCTTTTCCTGTTGTCTCCTACTTTCATCAAGGAGCGGGAACCCCCGAGCTGATGACTGCCTGATTTGGGAAGACGTGCGTCCCTGGCTGGCTCACGTAGTGTGTGTGGCACCCTGACACACCCTGTCGGCCAGATTCTCCACTGGGGCACCTCGGTGTCAAGCACAGAGCTCCTGATGCCTTTCACAAGATGTTTTCAAGGTTTACCCATCTTGTACTTTATCTTAGTACTTCATTCTTTTTTATGGCTAAGTAATATTCCATTGTATCGCTTCATCACATCTTCTTTGCCCAGTCATCAGTTGACAGATAGGTGACTTGTTTCCAACTTGCGCCCATTCGGAATAATGCGACAGTGGAGTTGTGTTCAAGCTTCTGGCGCTCTTTGGTATGGGCGTAGGAGTGGAATCGGGGTGATGGGAAAACTCTGCTGGCTTACTGAGGAGCCAGCAACGTTTGAGTGTTTCCTTTTAGCCGCTTCTCCCTCAGCCCTCGTTACCTCGATCCCTCCACCTTTTTATTGCCACCATCTTAGTGAGTATAAGATGCAGAGCTGATCTCACTTCCCTTGGTCTAATGGTGTTGGGCGTTTTTTTCCATGAGCTTACTGATTGCTCATTTATCTTCTCTGCAGACGTGTCCTGAAGGATTCTTCGCCCAATTTTATGTGGGTCATTTGTCTATGATTGAGTTGTTGGAATTTTTAACATATTCTAAATACAAGTCTTTCATTGGATATATGGTTTGAAATCCAATTTATTTATTTTCCATTTGTGTTTTCAGTATCACAAATAAGAAGACTGAATACTCCATTGATTTATATTTCACCCTTATAGTTTTATAAACTCTATTGAGACTTATCAGTTTCAAATGGGGGGTTGGTCGTCTGAGAGGAATTGAGCTTCATATTTCACATGTGTGAATATTTAGTTGTCTTAGTAATATTTGTCAAAATCATTGCTTTCATTGTCTAAATGTAATAATAATTATGAAGTCTGTTTTCTGGATGCTCCATTTTCAGTTTCATTTTCTTGTATGTCTATCCTATGGCAGTAATACATTCTCTTGATTATGCTAGCAGAATTTGAGATGGGAGAATATGAAATTGGAAATGCTCTTTGTCAATGTTCTTTGGTTATTCTCATCATTTGCTTTTCCAAATGAACTTTGGGATAAGTTTCTCATTTTCTGGAATTTTTGAACCTATTGGGAAGTTGGGGAAATATTGCCCAATACACTAAGTTTTTCAATATGGATTATCTATTTGCCTATTATTTTATTTCTTTCAATTACGTTGGTAGTTTGCATTGTGTAGAGCTTGCTTTCTTTTATTACATTTATAGTATTTTATTCATTCTTATTTTTGTACTATCTTTAAGTAGATATGGAAAAGGATATATTTCATTCTTTTGATTGGTATTATAAATAGAATTCTGTCTTATTTTCGTTTTCATTGCCTGAGTGTAAAAATGAACTTGACATTTGTATATCTTTCTTGTATCCTGCAACCTTACTAAGCTATTTATTAACTTCAATCGCTTTTTAGTGGATTCCTTAGGACTACTGAATGTAAAACGATGTCATCTGCAAAGACTGTTTTGTTTTTCCATTTCTGATTTGGATTCCTAATCTCTCTGACTAAAGAGAAGCAGTGGTAGGGGCCATCCTTGTCTTCTTCCTGATCTGAGTGCAACTTTTCAGTGGTCTGCCGTCAAGTAGATGTTAGCTCTGATTCTCATGAGCTCGTGTTTTTGCAATCTGAGAGACCTCTCTCTCAAAATCTCTTGTTCTATTATTAGCAGTGGTAGATTTTCCTTTCTCTCCTCTTGGCCAAGTTTCCTTTTGTATAATATTAAATGTAAATGCTGGTACTCTACAAAAACCAAACAGTTGCTATTTCTTTAGCACAGTTAACCTCATTTAATATGACCAGTTCAGAAACATACCATCAACTTCTAGTGACCCAAGAGGTAACTTCATGGCATGACCCCTTTCTACATCTTTCCCTAGCCCTACCCCTCACCCAGCACCCTTAATCCTATAGTGGAGAAGTAGTGAGGGCCCTGCTGTATTGTCAGAGTAAAAGTTTCTCAGACTGGACAGTGGGCCCATCAAGTCAGCTAAAGAAGGATCCATGGAATAATTCTCTGCAGTCAACAAAACAGCTATAATAGGGAGAACATTCTATCAGTGGCCTTGCTTATCTAGTTTTGAGACTCTTAAAGCCACTGCTGCATGAGTTTAATTCAGTGAGTAGTGAGCGAGTGAATGCAGGGAGAAGAACTCTCACTCCTGAAAACCTTCCATGGCCAGAATGTGGCCTGGAAATCCAAGACAAAAACTAAATGTGGACCTGCCGGTATCTAACCAGGTGTTGGGTGACATTGGAGAACAATGACTTCCAAAAGGAGAGAGAAAAATAAGATTCTTAATAGTTCTTTCAAATACATTAAACTCACATTTATTCTGTAAATGTAAGTAAGTGATTTATTTACGAAATTGTATGAAGTACATCTAGTAGAACCAGCTATTACACCTTTACTTATTTTGCTTTTGAGAAGAAGATTCCTGAAAAAATATATATCACAGAAATTTGAGAGACTAAAATTCTTACAAAATGATGATTAAATACATGGTCATTGATTAGCAAAGAAAAGTATGCCTCAGTATCAACATGTGCACAGAATTTTTGTACCCAGAGGCCAAGCTTGGTCATGTATTTCCATCCATGTTGTCACTGTTGGTTTTAAATTGCACTTTATTGGGACAGCAGTTTTTAATGTGTTGATTATCCACTCTGTTAGAAGCTTAGCTGACTGTCAGTTGTGTAGAGTGAGCATCCATCATTTAAGTGGCTTACTAGCTACTTCCTGAGAGGAGTGGTACGTGGGACAATTATAGATCTTTATACAGTGGACTAGCATAACCATTACTATGTCTGCCAAAATTACATCATAATTTTAGCATCTAGATGGAATTTTTTCATAATTACATTACCAACATACTTTATTTGCCCTGTTGTCTGGGGCCAAGTAAGTCATACTTCTCTCAGTCTACTTTTTGTTCTTAATGCCCAGCAAGGTTTCAGGATCATTGGTAAATATGTAATTTTTTAATGAATAGCTTTCTCCAATCTTAAAAAAAATAAAGATTCTGTTTATTGTGATAAATCATTTTCTGAGTGGGATGGTAATTTTATGCATGATTGCTTTAGGAAATGACAGAACAATGGAAGGTGAAGCATCTTATTACTTGGGCATGGCACATTTATCTGCTGGAGACTATGACACCGCACTAGCAGTAAGTAGCAGTCAACTTTTCATCCTTGCTCTTCTGGTTCTCATTATAGTATATGTTATTATGGGTTTGTCAGAAATGGGTTGGGCCTGATGTAACAGAATAGCAGCTGGGTGCTGTGGCACATGCCTGTAATCCAAACCGTTCAGGAGACTGAGAGCTGAGGATTGGGGTACAAAGCCAGCCCAGGCCAGACCCAGCTGAAAGACTCTTATCTCTAATTAACCAGCAAAAAGCCAGAAGTAGAGATATGGCTCAAGTGGTATAGCACCAACCTTGAAAGAAAAAACTAAGGGAGAATGCCTTGGCCCTGAGTTCAAGCCCCAGTACTGACACACAAAAAAACAAGATTTAAAAAAAAAAGAATAGCAGTGTTCTACATGTATGAGAAAGTGGACCTTGTCATTCATAGAAGAAAGGATATGGTCAGTTACCAGGAAGTGCTTCAGAGTATCTGACAGATTTAATACAGGAGGAAGTGCACATCGTGTTAAAATTAGTGAGTGACTATTTGGTGGCCAACTATTTTGTGTTTGGCTTCAAACACAAAAATGCCAAGAGTTCTCTTTTCTGAATGGGAATGAAGATTATTTTTCCTTCCTTCCTTTTTTTCCTTCTAATATATATAAAGTGCAGCTCCCATTTTCACATGTATTTTGTGGAATAATAGTCTTACTTCATATGTTTAGTTCAGGATCTTATTTTCTCCTTGATATATTTATGCTAAGTAGGAGTCCTGTATTTGGGATAGATGTTTTTCTCTGGCTTCCTTACAACAAATGATAGAAAACTTAGACTTTTCTAGATAATTCTTCCACTTGCTATTTTTCGGCTAATGACATGTGCTGAGCAGAGGTCTCTTCCTGGTGCCCTGGGAAATTTAGAGACCATCAATGTGCACGCTTCTTGCTAAGAGCTGATTTAATGAAGGGCGACCAACTTGTAAACAATTGTAATTCAGAGCGGGATGAACAAAGAGATTGGGAGGGAAGGGTGGTTTGTTCCAATATTGAAGAGCAGGGAAGTCCCCACTGAGCAATTTTCCAGGAACAGGATTGATGCAGGCAGAAACGTGGGAGTCCAGAATGACTGAATGTTAGACATGCATGCACGCGTGCACGTGCACACCCATGCACACACACACACACACACCACAAATATGCTCAGTGAACTTGGGGAACAGTGAATTATCAGGTTAAAGATGATATATTAGGGATTCAAATTAGAAAGTTAATTGAAAACTAGCTTACAGTTAATATAACTGCACGACCTTGGGCTCTAATTCTCAATTGCCTCCTGCATCCTGTGGAGCTGGGAATATATATACTTCATAAGATAGAGTGGGTAAAATGATGGCCTTCCCCAAAGCGTCCATTTCCTAATCCTGGGAATCCATGATTGTATATGGAGTTTATTTAAAGACTTGGAGATGAGACAATTATCCTAGATGAACTGGGTTGGCTCTATACTCACAGACTAGAATCCTTGCAGGGAAACAGCTAAAGAAATTTAGGCAAAAGACGAGCAAACGCACGTGACAGAAAAAAAAAGACCGTGTGAAGATGAGAACAAAGATGGCAGCAACCCTGCCTCTCGTCAAGTGGGCAGATAAGGGTCCATTCTGCATCCCGTATCTTGAACATCATTTTCTGCACTTCGTCTTCCCTGTGTTCTACTGACGCGTTCATCCTTCCTCTTTCCCCTCCCTTCTCTTGCTTTTTGTTTATGTTTCCTTTCTCAGGTTAATAAAAGTCTTGCCTCTAGTTTTCATCTCTAGCTTATACAATTCCATTCCCATCTAAAAATTGGAACCCTGATCTGCATAATAAAACCCGCAGAGTATAAGCTAGTTTAAGAAAGGAAGAATTCCAAATAGGCCATTGCCAGAATTGATAGCCTGCTATAGGAAACATAGAAATACTCTCCGGCTTTTGAATCAGGGGGTGCTTGCTACCAGGGACACCACAACTGGGGAAAACCCAGCAGTGCGCAAGATGAAGAAGCATTCAGTACTGCATCTAATTCATTTTTCCCATCATGCCACGCAGCTTTTGCTAAAAGCCTGTAATTGTTTAACAAATCTCAGATTTTCACTTTATCTCTTCAATTAAGCACATTCACTTTTACTTTGCTTTTTGGGTATCATTTGCTTTTGTGAGGTTTCCAGAAAATTAAGTGTAGGGGAAAATTCAGCAGATCCCACAGCAAACTAAACACAACTGACACTAGCACAGGACTGACTGAAAACTTCATTCTCTGCATGTCCTGAGCTGCATGGTGCACAGAACATTTATTTTTGAAAGTTCTTTTATTATTTATTATTATTTTTATTCCATTTGGTCAAAACTTCATTACTAAATCCACGAATGCAGTGGGATTATTGTATACTGCCTTGCTCAAAATTTAGGTCCTTTGTGCAATATTTCCAATATTTCAACCCTAGAAACTTCTACTTGTTTGTGGTACATGATAATAGGACAAATCTTTCTTGAGGACACGATACCTGTTTATGTACGTTGTCTGAATCAGTTGGTCTATGACAGCAATTGCTTCACCTTTCTCTGTCATCCTCTGGATGAGAACAAATAGCAATGGGAAGACAGCTGGGTCCAGGTTAATGCGGGGTCATAAAACTTGGTTAGAGTTGTCTGGACGGTATAGAGTTACACTCACTAACAAATCTGTGATCGCTACCTGTCTGCGCGAAGTAAAGGCAGTAAATACTAGCATTTCTCAAATAGGGTGCACTCAATGTGCTGCTCAGAGGGTCTATTTATCAGCTCTTTGGAGCGAGGAGACAGCAAAGTGGTTAAGAAGATGAGCTCTAAAGTCCAACTGCTGGAGGAAGGACTCCCAGCTCTCCGCCAATCCGAGGTGTGATGCTGCCCAAGGGACTAAGCCTTTCCAAGCATTCGTTTCTTCACCTGTGAAGTGAGGCCAATACCACCACCCAACTCCACCCAGCCTTGTTACATTTAAGAAAATGGAGGGAAACTCATGGGCTCAAACACACAGAAAGGCCTATCTGTTCTATCACCATGAACATATATTAACATTTTCAACCACACATATATATGAAAATCATCATTTTTTTTTCATTTTGGGCCAGCCACAGTACTCCTCAATCTATATTTGCATGGGTAAAAAATGCTTGTGGGCTGGGATGTAGCTCAGTGGCAAAGCGCTTGCCTAGCAAGCGCAACGTCCTGGGTTCGATTCCCAGTACCAAAAAAGAAAAGACAAAAAAAAATGCTTGTATGTAGTTGAAGTCTGCATAGTTAAAGATGATGAAGGAGTTTTAGACGCATGCATTACATGTTAAAGAATATCTCCACGCCACAGAGGAAAAGCTCTACACAGCAATGGCTTTCTACTTGTTAAGTGGCCAAATACTTGAAGTGGCAGAAGACCTTCGCTGTAGTCTTTGTACTACGGGGGGGGGGGGGGACTGCAGAGTAGAAAGGACATGGTGAGACGCAGCTAAGGCCGGGGTTCAAGTCCTGTTCACTGTATGCTAGCTATATGATCTTGGGTTAGTCATTTCACTTTTTGGAGACACAGTTTCATTAATAAAATAAGTAGCTCAATGGAAGACTCACTATGTTTCTGTGAATAAATATCAAATGAAACAAATACATGTTTATACATTCAGTGATTTTCAACTGTAAGATACTATTGTTACTACAGGCTATAATTAACACTGAATAATAATATCCTAAATATATGATCAAAGGCAATATTTGATATCTGTTCAAAGGGCCTGTTTCTATTCTTAGTTTTCTTTTTTTTGGGGGGGGGTCCGGTTGTGGGGCCTGAACTCTGGGCCTGGATGCTGTCCCTCAGCTCTTCAGCTCAAGGCTAGCACTCTACCACTTGAGCCACAGCACCACTTCTGGCTTTTTTCTTTTTGCTTATGTGGTGCTGAGGAATCGAACCCAGGGCCTCAGGCATGCAAGGCAAGCTCTCTACCACTGAGCCACCTTCCCAGCTATTCTTAGTTTTCTTTAAATGCAATTTACAAGTATTCTTATGTGTCAATCACAGAATGTTTAACTCTATCTTTACATTGGCACATTTAAAACGTTTTTATTATCTTTAGGAAACTACTAATTAAAGGTAGTTTATGAATACAATATATCCTGATCAACGTCGTGAATATTTTGTTCATCTATGCCTTCATTCCTATGTCCTCCTTTCCCCCCCCCAAAGACAGATAAATGAACAAGACAAAAAGAAAAAATCCTCTTGTTTTTTTCAACGTCACATATTTTTTAAATGGAAATAAGATAAGCCAGTATTTTATGGAGAACTTTGATTACTAACTTATTAATCATTTTCCTTTGAGTGAAAACAAATGACATTAATCCAAGGGAGGGAATTTGAGTTCTCCTTGCAATGACCTACGGGGGCTCTTCACTACTCACTAACCAGAAGCGGTTTTTACGTGCCTGTGGGCAATCCTCAGCATTTGGCCTGTGCTCTTGGTTCCATGGCTCCGTATCTGAGGGAGGCTGGTAGATGGGAATTGTGGCCTCTTGCTTTCAGAGGAGTCTGGTTGGCACCAGACGCAGCCCTGCAGACAATCCTGCTTGCAGCCAGTTTGCCTCCCACTCCGGCGTAGGTGCTCAAGGGGGCACTGCTGCCCATCTTGGCTGTGAGCTCAGGGTCCCGCCGTCACTATCCTCCATTGGGATTCCCATCTGCTTCAGCCTGGCCTCATGACCCACCTTAGACAGTCTCCTTCTTAACAGCAGCTCAGAGCAGGCCCGGGATTTTTCTATCTGACGAGTGGGCCCATAGAAAACTGGAACTGTGGAGAATTAATGCCCTTGGGACTCAACCAATGAAAGATGGTTTCCTCGTCTCTCCACTGGAATTCAGGCTTGTTTCTGCACTGCTGCTCCGTGCACTCCAGACTGACAGTGCTCCATTTGAGCCCACGGGCAAGTGGGGAGGTAAAAGTGTTCTTTCTGTGGACTTCCTCCTTCCCAATTCTTCTTCTG